CAGTTTTCTTTTTAACTACTAAATACGTTTTAATATACACACAACAATACAATTTACAATAACAGTTATTACAAATAATGATTTATAAACAAATGTTTCACAAACTTACAAGAAATATTAAACCTTCCTTTTACTAAGTTTTAATCTAGAACTTCGATATCTTATCGAGGGTTCACAATGAGCCAGGTGATTACCAGTTTACTTAGATATAATTCACTTAACGGGAAGCTAGCTAGCTCTGTTCTTCGTTATTTATCAGCCACACACACACCGGATTTTCCACTGTGACGTTATGTAATGTTTTCGTAAAAATACTAATGTCCGATGAGAATCCACCGAAGTTAAATGAGTTGTAATGTTCGAACTTTGTGAATACTCCTGGTCAAATATCTGAATTTTTCCGATTAATATGCGTTATAACAATCACAGTTATAACTTCCGAAGTTTATAGCACACTGACTACAGCAAACTAGTAATAGATATTCTCTCTTGGCGAGTCGCATTGGTTATATTTATAGCCGTGTGGAAGGCTTTCTAGAAATGTCAGATTACGTAACAATACAAATTTAAGTGTTTACGTACACACACACATATTGATGATTCTTACTCTCGAGAATCTTCTACAACTTTGGAGAGTAGGCGGGAGTTTCGCAATACATATCTAACAATATAAGCTATGCATGTTTCCAAATATAAACTTAATCTAAACAAACGTTGATATTAAAATAAATACATAAAAATAAATTCATTACACCAATTAATATTTAAGTGAAGACTCAAGAACTTTTTTTTAAAAAACTCAGTCTATTGAAATCATTCAGATTTCAAATTTGGAACACAATCGCAGAGCGAACAAACGGTGCCACCTATAGAGATTCGACCAATTCGTGAAGCAAAGGTCATTACTCTATTAAGTATTGCTTATCCCGCCAGATGCCATAATTTGATTTCGGAAAAAACATTGTTTTGAACCTTATCGATGATTATAAATATGTTTGCATTGAAAATTATTAACACTTTAAATATGTCATAGCATTAACAATTTTAAATTATATCTAAGAATATACCAATAAAAGGCTGTAGACGAGAAAAAAAAATGTGGTAAATGGCGATTTAAAACAATAGGCCGTAACAATACGTTGACAAACAATAATTTATAAGCATAATAAAGTGTTAATTTTTGGGTAACATATTACATGTTTCGAAAGAACATCGGCTCATTTTCTTTTGTATGCAGTACGTGTGTTGTTTAGCAACGTATTATTATATTAGCATAATATGCTTCCTTAATCAAGTAACAGGCCATAATAGCATTACTTTTTAATTTCAGTGTTCAGTTTCCCGAAGAAGGGATTAGGCTCGAAACATTTAAATGTATGATATATAATTATTCTGTTGGAAGCTAAATTTTCAGTGTTATTTAGATGTTTGTTTCTTAGAAAGAGCATGTCATTATGTCATAATGATGATACAGTATCTAGACATTTGATTAAAGTTTAGAATACGTTTTGTGTAGTTTGTAAAAATAAAGGTACGATATGAATACGAGGAAAGCGAAACGTTCAGTAACTAACCAATGATTGAGTTAGTTCAGTACCAGTTAGACAGTGAGGGTTATTGCCTCTGTAATTAAGTAAGTTAGATAATGAGAATTAGTGCGTCTGTGATTGAAATTCTACATGTACATTTTATATTTTTGAGTTAGGTATACGTTAGTTTTCGGAAGTTCTGGTAAATGTTTTTAACCGTTGTATTTGATATTAGGCTTACAAGTAAACGTAGTTTGTAACTAAGTTTATTCACTTATTAAAGAAACAGATTATTTTGTTATTGTTACCTGTATTACAATTTGCATTGATTTGCACCAAGTAATTCAAAATAATCCGCCAAATGATAGAACACCCTGTTTTCACAATACCATACGTTTATACCTCTCTTTCATATAGTATTATTTTTAATTTGTTACATGTTCTGTTTTTGTTTTGGTTTTTTTGCAAGTTTCACATAAAGGGTGATCAAGAATGCCCATTGAGTAGGGGTATTTCTGTCATGCTGCACGTTGTACCAGAATATA